TATATATATAATTTTTTCAACATATGGTTTCTCTGTGTAGCTTTGGAGCCTGTCCTGGAACTCACTCTATACAGCAGGCTGGCCTTGAACTCATAGAGATCCTGCTGTCTCTGCCACCGCCCCCCAGCTCATTTATATTTTTTGATACAAATCACACCATGTAGCTCAGGCTGGTCTGGAACTCACTATGTAACTCAAACTGGTCTCAAACTTGATCCTCCTGCCTCAACCTCCTTCTTTCCTGGACTATGCCTGGCTTTTATTTCAAAGTCCTACACTTCAGTTTATTGTCCTTGCCTTTTTACTATTATTGCTATTTTTAGGAGATTCTTTGGGTTTTCCTTCTAGAATTTCATTATATGTAAAAGATATAATGATGGGGGCTGGAGAGATGGCTCAGAGGTCAAGAGCACCGACTGCTCTTCTTCCAGAGGTCCTGAGTTCAATTCCCAACAACCACATGGTGGCTCACAACCACCCATTATGAGATCTGGTGCCCTCTTCTGGTATGCAGATATAAATGGAAGCAGAATGTTGTATGCATAATAAATAAATAAATTCTTTTTAAAAAAAGATATAATGATGTATCAGTTTTAATCCATTTGAAACCTTATGTGTTTTCACTAAAATGATTGTCAGACTATTGAGAAATTTAATCTTTTTAATAACTTAATTAAGGAAAATTCAAATATCTACTGCAATAAAATGGTAAATCCTTGTCATGTTAATTTAAAATATGAAGGAGACAAGCAAACCAAACACAAGAAGATGAGGGACAAGAAAGTACAGCTGAAATTTAACACTGACATCTAAATATTTATTTCGTTGTAGGAACTTGAACGAGAAATCACATTTCAGGGTGACAGTGCTGTTTATTACTCCTATTATAAAGACATGTTAAAGGCGCCTTCATTTGAAAGAGGTATGATCAACCACAGTTGTAATTGCAATAATAATATTGTTCTAAAGTAAAACACTGTTCTTAAAGATTAACAGCTTTTGGTGTGGGACTTTGTCTCAGAATATAGGTTATTTTTCTTTATGTACATAATAAAGTTGGGAAAATGAGGCATCTTGTGTTGCATTTGAGTGTCTTTATATTAATCATGATGACTGATGAATAACATGTTCAATCATTGCCAAAGCAGAGCAGTAATCTAGAGAGAAATCTTTGTATATCTAGGTGTGTACGAGCTGACGCACAATAACAGAACTGTCTCCCTGAAGACGATCAATGCAGTGCAGCAGATGTCACTGTATCCAGAGCTTATTGCCAGTGTTCTCTATCAAGCAACTGGGAGCAATGTATGTGTTTCTTTTTTACTTTAGATTTATTTCATGTGTGTGAGTGTTTTTCTTGCATGTCTGTATGTGCAGCACATGTGTGCCTGGTGCCCTCAGAGTTCAGAGGGCATTGGATCCTCTAGAACAGCAGTTCTCAACCTGTGGCTCTAGACCCCTTTGGGGGGGTCACATATCAGATGTCCTGCATATCATATATTTACATTATTATTCATAACAGTATCAAAATTACAGCTATGTGGTGGCAACAAAATAATTTTAATGTTGGGGGGGTCACCACAACATGAGGAGTTGTATCAAAGGGTAGCAGCATTAGGAAGGTTAAGAACCACTGCTCTAGAAGTTAGAGGTGGTTGTGATCCACCTTGTTGAGTCTGGAAACTGAACTAAGGACCTCTTCAAGAAAAAAAAATGCTCTTAATCACTAAGCTGTCTCTCCAGCCCTCCCTTCCTTAATAGTCTCCCTCCCTCCCTTCCTCCTCCTCCTCCTCCCCTTCCTTCCTTCCTTCCTTCCTTCCTTCCTTCCATTTCTCAAGACCTCTGTTTAACAGCCCTGGTTGTCTTAGAACTCATTCTGTAGACCAGGCTGATATCACCTGCCTCTCTCTGCCTCTTGAGTGCTGGAATTAAAGGCATGAGCCACCACCACCCGGCTATTCTCCGTTTTCTTACATGTTATGTATCCTTGGGTTATATAGCATCATCCTCTTTATCATTCCTTTCTTTTTGCCTTTAGGAAATGATTGAACCAGTATATTTCTACATTGGAATTGTTTTTGGATTACAAGGAATATATGTTACAGCTTTATTTGTTACAAGTTGACTTATGAGTGGCACATGGTTAGCAGGAATGCTTACTGTTGCGTGGTTCCTAATTAACAGGTATGAAAGGTTTTTTAATCGATATTTACAAAATTTCATTCCAGCTGCATGGTAGTGGCACATGCCTTATCCCAGCACTCGGGAGGCACTTGGATCTCTGAGTTCAAGACCAGCATGGTCTACAAAGCTACACAGAGAAACCCTGTCTTCAAAAAAAAAAAAAAATTATTCCAAAAATAGTCCCTTCTTTTCAATTCTCAGCTATAATCTGCAAACCTATTGACTGTTACGCAACATGGTGAAGTTTAGATAGGATTCCCCCTAGGGCCTAATATAGATATATGATCACTTAAAAAGGAGGTCTGGGAGTGACATAGTTCTTTAATCACAGCATGTGTAAGTCAGAGGCAGGTGGAGGCTCTGTGAGTTGGAGGCTAGCCTTATCTACAAAGCGAGTTTCAAGACAGTCAAGACTGTTTTGTCTCTTAAAGAAAAAAAAAAAAAACAGGTTCAGTGGTTAAAACATTTGCTGTGTGAGCATGAGAACTAGAGTTTGGATACCCAGACCCTACGTAAATGCTGGGTGGACATGGAGCTTCCTGTAATTCTTCCTGGAGCAAGTTGGTTAGCCAGTCTTGTCATATGGGCAAGATCTCTGTTGATCATTAGACTACCTCAATGAGTAAAGTGGAGCACAATCCAAGAAAGGTACTAAAATCAACCTCAGGCTTCTTTACAAGTGGTTGTGGATGGGCGTTTCTGTCCTGCCTGGTCCTGCGGTCATTTAGTCCCAAATAAACACACAGAGGCTTATATTAATTATGAACTGTTTGGCTGATGGCTCAGGCTTCTTATTGGCTAGTGCTCTCTCTCTCTCTCTCTGTCTCTCTGTCTCGCTGTCTCTCTCTCTCTCTCTCTGGTTTTTCAAGACAGAGTTTCTCTGTATTGTTTTGGAGCCTGTCCTGGCACTTGCTCTGTAGACCAGGCTGGCCTTGAACTCGCTCCTGCCTCTGCCTCGCAAGTGCTGGGATTAAAAGCGTGCACCACCAACGCCTGGCAGCTAGCTCTCTCTTAATTATTAACCCATTTCTATTAATCTACTTGGTCTTGGCTTACCAGGGAATGCCCGAGAAGCTACATTATATCTCTCTTGCAACTCATTCTCTGCTTTCCTCTTCCCAGCAAAGTTTCTCCTAGTCTGGTAGCTCTGCCTATACTTCTTACCTGGCTTCATCCTGCCTGTCCATTGGCCGAAACAGCTTTATTCATCAACCAATAAGAGAAAGATATATTTACAGCATACAGGACATCCCCTACTACACATGGTTATACATGTGCTCCCACACACATGACAAAACACACAAGTGTATGCGCACCACACATACACATGCGGGTAAAACAAATGTAGCTGATAGAAGTGGTGACATTAAAGGGATTCACTGGGCCATAACTGGCTTGAAGCAAAGAGAATGAATTCTGTGAGAATGTAGTAACTGAGTGAGAAGACTGCTTGCTGCTAAGCCTGATGACCTGAGTTTGATCAGGTCATATGGTGGTCCAAGAAACAGATTCCTACAGATTGTTCTGTGTCCCCGACTGATACGCAGTGGCATGCTCCTAGATGAGTTTTAGTTAATCCTTGTCTGTTCAAAATCTTGACTCAAAAAACTTAACCCCAACCCAATGTAGTGGTGTACACCTTTACTCCCAGCATTCGGGAGGCAGATGCAGGTGGATCTCTATGAGCCTGAGACCTAGGATAGCCAGAGCTGGCATACAGAGAGACTATATCTCCAAAAAAAGAAAGGAAGGAAGAAAGAAAAAAAAGAAAGAAGGAAGATGGTATTTTACAATAAAAAATTCAAGAGACTGAAAGAACGGCATTGATGGATGTCTTTTATAACTTACAATCTAATCTCGGAGACAGCATAGCATCACTCTGATGTATATACTGTGGAAGATGACAACATTAACACCAGAAGGCAAGTACCATTAAGACTATTATGGAGGTTACTATATCTGATAAAGTTAGTAGCTCTTTTCATTTGATCCTTAAATATGTATCATCACATTCAAGGGAGAAGCCATGTATACGTTTTTACATGCTAGGAAGGGACTCTCCCACAGAGCTGTTCCCTGGTGGTTTTTATTTTTGAGACAGAATCTTGCTATGTTGACCAGACTAGTCTCAACTTTGTAGCCCAGTGTGGTCTCAGATGCAGTATCCTTTCCAGCCCTGGGGTGGCAGACATGCCTCATGTGCAGCTAGACATTGAATCCAGGTTTTTGGGCATGCCAACTAAATATATCCACACTGTTAACTCATGTTCTTAACATTTGTGTGCTGCACTTTGGTATCTCTGTTGGTTTGATTATCTCTTCTGGGCTATTTGGGGGAAGGGTGTCTTATTTTATTGATCAGTTTCTTTTTTTTTTAAATCCATTATTTATTTTCATGTGTATGGATGTTGCCTACAGGTATACATGTGCATCATATGTATTCCTGGTACCCACAAAGACCAGAAGAGGGCACTGGATCCCTGGTACTGGAGTTACAGGCCACTGTGAGCCGCCATGTGGGTGCCAGGAATTCCCCAGCCTACTGATGAGTTTATCTCTGAAGGCTCAATCAGTCCTCAGTATTCTGCAAGGAGAAAACAGAATGCTTCTGGAAGCTGCAACTGGCTCTTCTCTCACTCGAGCTATACAGCTAAAGCTGTGTTCAGTTTATTTTTGTGTTCCCTGCCCTTTTCTCTGCTCAGATATCCTCTATTTTCTTTGTATATTTTTCTGGCTTTCTCTTTCACCAGCTCACACTTGAGGCAGCTTGCAGCTTTCCGTTTTATCTGGAAGTTATAGCATAAGTTATTTTAAGCATAGGAGCTTTCCCTAGCTTTGTTTCCTTTTAGTTTTTGTTTGGGTAATGCTGGGTATTGAATCCCAGGCCTTGTGCTTGCTAGGCAAGTTGCTGTGCCATTGAGCCGTATAATTTGCCCCTAATATAAGCCACTGCGTGTGCATGAGGGTGTGTGGTACAGAGATTGTTGCAGAGTAGGTAATATAGTTAGAGTAATACCTCATTGTAGTTTATTACTACTTTTTTTCATGAGACAAAGGAAGGGAATTTAGTTTTCAGCATGGTTTACTAGAAACACAAGAGAGACCAAGCACTAGGCTTCTCACATGTATTGAGGGATTAGATGGGAGCTGTCAGTGTACGTGAGGGGAAACGGGGAGAGGGATGCATAATTCTGCAGTCCTGATTGTAGTCAGAGGTTCTGTTCTGCCTGGTCCCAAGCCCTTCCAAATAAACATACAAAGACTTACAATAATTTATAAACTGTTTGGCTGATGGCTCAAGCTTCTTATTGGCTATCTCTTAATCATTATCCCATTTTCTTAATCTAAGTATTTTCACGTAGTGTTACCTTACTGGAGATGGATCTGGCGTCCTATTTTCCCAACAGCTACAAGGCATCTCTCTTTGGTGGCTTCTCTGTCTCTCCTCTCCCCAGAATTCTCCTTGTCTGGTAGCCCCACCTATACTTCTTGCCTGGCTACTGGCCAATCAGTGTTTCATTCATCACCCAAAAAGAGAAACATATATACAGAAGGATATTCCTCCATCACCTGATGAGAATTGAGTTGCTTTCTCACTTTCTTCAGTTTTGCTTCTGTGAAGTGGCCCTCTTAAGGAGAAGTCTTCACAGACATATTGCTTAAGGGGACCATGTGGTTCCCAGTTAAGATTCCTTGATTCTACTGAGGGCGGTTGAGGTGGTGTAGTTAGCTCCCTTGAGGAGTAAGTAGTGCATGCTGCTTCTAGGGGCTATCTCATCAGGGTTTCTCTTTCTGTAGGGCTCCACTGCATTTGAGGATGCCTGCAGGCTTGAGGCACTACTCTTAGAAGAGAAGATGCTATGCCCCCATTCCCCATTATTGTCTCCCTCCTCCTTCTTTCTCCCCTCCCCTCTCCTCCCCTCCCCCCCCCCCCCCCCCC